TTTTTTTTTTTTTTTGGAGTAAACTAAGTTTGCAAAAAATTGTAAAGATTTTTAAAAAATTCTGTTCTCGTGGAATTGAATAACACTGTTCTCGTGAAACATTCGTATAATAAAAGTTTCACGGAAACAAGTAGATTTTTTGACATATGTATTTTTACATTCGAGTACTATTCAGTGTTTGCATTGAAATATTGAAGATTTTTATTTCTACATTTTGCAAGTTCTCATCTTGGGACTTGTAACGTAAGAAGATTTTCCCGAGCAAAATATACGAACCTATTCAATAGTTTCTTAATTTTATCAATTCATGTTTGAGAAGTTTCTTTGGGGCATTAAAAATTGGATTAAGAAATTTCCACTGGTTTCTTGGTAGTCTTCTGAACAAACTGTGCAAGTATAAATCTTCATCTGTTGGAGTGGATCTTGTTTGTAAAGAAGCCTCTTTCAGAGATTTATCAGAAAGTTTCTGAAAGTTTTCGTTGACAGTCGCCGACGATCAAACGGAGCATCGCGAATCTGACATAATTAACCATCGCGATGTTACTTAGCGTACGTGGACGGCTTCTCGCGTACTCGTTGCACTTGTACGACGTCTGACCTGAATATACATATGTTCACGCTAGATCCGCCTTCGATTTCGATTTAAAAGGATTTTCAAACGACCTGCCCTCCCACGAGTGATCTCGAATTAATTTCTTCCTGGAAGGGACCCGGGCATTAAATTACTCCTCGTCTTCGAAAATTGCGCTCTCATTCCCATCTATTTAAATTCCTTTAAACGTTCTTGTCGCTACCAGTTTGGCTCTTTTTCTTCTTTTTTACCCGCGTCGAAAGCTTGCGTTGCAATTTTCCAATTTCTGTCGATCGATCCGAACTCGCAGCCTCGCAGTTTAATTACAAGTTACAAGCGTACTCTTCGAATTCTTCACCCGTACCGTGATTATGGAAACCCGTGATTTTCTAATTTACGATTCCCGCAAATGTTGCTGGCCAGAGTTCGCGTGTTGACGCACCCTTCGAAGCGGCGATAAGCAGAATGCTTTCACAAACTGCTGGTAATTGGGTCTGTCCTTTCAACGCACGGAGATCGCGCGATGCTGTATCGAGTAGCGTCAATAACGAACGCGAAGACCAATAGAGGTCCTGGTTGAATCGCCAGGACAGGTCGATCTAGCCCGGGAACCGGTCGAACCGCAACGACGACGTAATCGAGTTACTTTTGTCGGCTCCTGTTTTCCCGCGAGTCTTGCATTAATTAATGGATACCAGGTTTTCAGACATTCCTCGCCACAATCGGGGAAACGCGCGTAAAGATGAAAGAAAAAAAAAAAACAAGAAAACGTATCGACGTTTCGGTGAACGCGATTGGAAAGAATCGTTGATCGACACGAAGCTCGAAAGAGACGAAAGGAAAACTACTGCCGGTTTTTCTTTTATCGATGAGTTATGATTATCGGGAGTATAAACGAATAGTTTTGTTTTGCACGTGGTTGACCGTATTCTTCATCGTTGTCTTTTCTTTCTCGTGCAAAGTGAAAAGCGTGCGTGACTATCTCGGTGTAAGTACTGTCTCGAGAAGTTTCTGGGCGTGGTAGAGACGAAAGACGAGGCAGTTGGAAATTATATCAATGTACCTCGTATCTACCGTTTCTACCGCGTGCTATTTAACTTGCTTCTAAACCCAAGGAACCTGGTATTACTCGTTCTACTACTTTGCTTTCGTAGTAAATAGCAAGTTGCGTGGATTCGCGGGCGTAGCATCAGGTCGAGCGGCCTGATTCGTAAAAACACCACGTTAAACACCTGGCTGCTAAAACTGCAAATCGTCCGGGGGAAGAGATTGCACGATATCCTTCCTCGAGCTCGCTGTGATTACTAATCGCTTCATAATCGAAACGATTGCATCGATCGCGTAACTGTCAGTTAACGATTTCTCCCGATCGATGGTTCCATTCAGGGCGGAAGCAGACTTTCCCTCCGCAACGCCCGTGACTTTTCTCGTTCGCGTTCGCTCGAACTTTCAGCGTTGAGAGACTCCCTATCGACAAACTTTTTTTTGTATCTTTTTTGTTTTCATGCCAGCAATTTTTTTACGAAGCAATCATCACTTCGAATAAAATGATACAGCATTGGAAACAATTCAAATGGTTAACACGAAATTTTGTTGATTCGTTCAAATTTAAACCAACCATCAACTCGTGCATTGCGGGTTCCCTAGAACAAGTATGATAAGACAAGAGTTAATGATACATAGTTTCAATCTCTGGAAGAACTTTGTAAGAAGCAATAAAAAGTCTAGTTGTTTATGTGAATTCCAATGTCAATTGATTCACTTCTGGATCATCTTGTTCTGAAATTTTTTTTTCACCAAATGTATACGTTCGTTATAATTATAAAAAAAAAGAAAGTCGGAGCTGTTAGCTAGATTTAAGTACGATAAGAGAAGGGTGAAAACATTCGAGTGCAAAGGGTTAAATCGGAGCAGAAAAGCCGGAATTTATATTCTATTTTGATGTATAGCAAGCCACTGCGGCGAACGCCGAAGAATTTCAAATGGCAAGCGTTCCTCGAACCACTGGCTTCAGATAGGAGCTTCCAGCTCTCGAA